TATTCGTTCGTATTGTGATAATCGTTAAATTTGCACACTTGCAAAGAAAAATATGGTGCCTCTAATATTAAACTTGATTTTCCATAAATAATAGTAATTATGCAAACATAATAATGCGTGTTTAATAAACGAGTGACTTAAAAAGTTTACCGAACATGTTGCATACTATACTTTTTCTACGACCGTTAGTTTTTGGGTACATTTTCGCAAAATAACACGAGTACATTCACTGACATGACCGTCAGAATTGACAAACGTCAAAATTCAAAGTGTGGGAAATATCTCCGAAAACATTCGATTGCTACCAAACCTGTGCGGCAAAATCCCGGAAAAGTGGCTCGGATGCGTGGGAAACGAAATTGACGTGGTAAAGTGACGTTTCCCGCACGCTAGATCAGTGTCTAATTAGGTATTTTACAGACGGGAGTAGAAAAAAATAAATAATATACAGGAACTCCAACTAAGTACTGTCGGCGAAACGGTAAGAGATAAGGCAGGTTAGTTTATTATTTATATATATTATTTATTTATAGAAAGGTACCCTTTTTGACACTCTCGCCGGCGTTTGCCACAAATTACTTTTCTCTAATTTCTATTAAAAAAAATCGCAGAAATTTGAAATAGTAATGGAACTTTACATTTACAATTTCTTTTGTTGTAATTGCTTTGTTATGGCCTAATATCGACGTACGGGAGATTTGAAAAAATTGGTTTTGTTAGTTGTTTGGAACTTTTAGTAAAACGCTCAACTCAAACCACTGTTTTTCAGGCGTCATCAATAATATTCCAGCAAAATTTGTCCATTTTATAATTATCTATTAGCACATTGAATAAACTTCTAAAGCGTCTAAAGAAAATCGTTTTTTTCTTATTAATTTTGTCTTTATAGGAAACGCTTTGCGAATCCATTTTCAAACTCTCATAAAATTTTCGTAATAAACCCGCTACAGGTTTAAAGGCTGAATTAAAAAAGATGAAATTTATCACGGGAAAAGATCAACGAGCGGATTTTGTGTCGTCCCATTTTAATGTCAAATTAATAATCAGCCAACTCGACGTAACTTGCCTCGGATATTGAACAGAATTATAATTGTAAATTCAGGAGGAAAGTTTATATGCCGACCTCGGAAAAATATCGTTAAATCGCATTTTATTTACATATTATAAATTTTAAAAACGTCAACGTTACCGTGAAGTTTATGCGGAAAAGGGAACTTCCTTTTATTGTGCTGTATTCGGTAGATAAAGAATTGTGTCGCGCACGCCACCATTCTTGCCTTCAATTTTCTGCCACCGGAATAATATGCAATATATATTGCAAACTTTAGCATGTCTTGTGTTTTAAAGAGAATATTGGTTTCGGATCATGATATTTACAATTTATAGAACGCTTTGAGAGAAAATGGAACTCGAATAAGGATGTGATTTTATTGTGCTACATTTTCTCTCGCGCTCCTGCATTATTGTAATAATCTGTAATGCAAAGTAAATAGAATTTAACTAAATTATTGAAGCTCCTATTTAAATTGAGGGATAGTTAAAAAAGGTTCAAAAACATTGTTAATATTTTTAAGCCATTGTTAATTTTCACATTCGCACGTTTCCAAACTTTCGTTTTTCAGAATTCCGGACTGCGGTCTAGTGACGTCCTGATATAGAGAAACAAAACTATGTGATACGATCAGATTCGCGTCAATACCATCCGTATTACTCAACATATCTAAATTAGTATCTCCAGGAAAACTTCCATTTCTCTAACTGGTTTATTAGCAAAGTAAAAATAAGTATGCTGTCGAAAGACGTAAAGCTTGCGTAGTCATAATACAAAATAAAACCGGGGAGATTGAAGTGAGAAATTGAATATATATTACGACATTCTGTTAACACACTACACTTATTATTTCATAAATTTCTTAAACAATTTATTACCTAAAATAGGTGCTTATTTATGTCTGTTTCTAAGTGTAATATTAAAATATTTAAATAGTAGGAAAAAAAAACCTTTTTTTCTTATGACTCAAAAAATGCACGTGTGTAAACTGTATAAAATCTACTAAATGCTGATCAGCGAAAATTAAATCTAAATTACAATACAAATACAAATTACATAAACTAAGAAGTACTTGGTCGCACTTGGTACTCAATTCAGTGCTCTTGTTGACCAATGTGTTGGAACATTATCCACTTTACCAAGACCTTGCTTACGGTTGCACGTTTAAAAATGTTAGCAACATGTAGTCGATAAATTTAAAGAGGATGTGCTGCTTTAACACCCCATATGTTGTGGCGCGCTAAAATAATCTAGGAACATTTGATTAAACAAAGGATTTGCGAGAAGTTAACCCTACTTACCACCAAAAAGTTTATTGCAAGTAAGGATCGCTAAGGATGACTCCTAAACAAGTTATTGTTATTATTATTTTTTCATTTCTGACCGACTGGTTGAATCTTGTGCATCATCTGTTTACAGCAGGCATAACACTGCGCGCACTCTCTAAATTGAAATATTGTAGTATGAATGGAGTTACTTTATTTCTTTGAAAACTGATCGTAATAATTGAAATATATTTCTATACATGTACCATCCAAAAAAGAAAAAGAGAAACAAAGTACATTTTTCTTTATATTTGAATGAAAAATATTATTGGGTTGTGATATTGGCTAGTATAATAACACACTATCCTTACACTGAAAGTAATATTTCACAACATCTTGGTGTACTTTCAATCAATTTAGGAATGGTAACTATTGAGGACGAGAAAATTAGAGCAATACATTGTATCCAACAGTATTTTATTGTATTTTATTTAGGAATATTAACAATTAAAAGTTATTCATTAGTAATTGATAGAATATCTATTAGTATCTGCTGACAATATCGCGGCTTCGAAGCAATCAACTTCTGAACCACATTTTCGTTATCCAAACTTGACTTTTTTTTTACCACGGATTAATGTTTATAGGGAAACATTTGGGTACGAATACGACATTCTACTTCTTTAAGGTTAAGATCTACAAAACTCGTACTTTATTTTCTCCAAACCACTGTTGAACAACTTCTGAAGATTGTTTCGGAAAATAAAATTGCAATTGCATTTTCTATTCAGCACAAGGAAGCATAACATTCTGAACATAAAGAAACAGGTCCATCGTGTCATTAATAATGGCTATAGCCCCATTCCATGAGAAAGAACCCCATAAAAATACACCGCCTTTACCATATTTAATTGTAGGGGTTGCGTATTTAGGATTAAACTTTATATTGATTGGTCGTCTCAAACGCCTCGTTCCATCGGAGTGGTATATTTTGTAACTCGAATAGAACTTTTTCCACGTTATTGACCGTCAAATTTAAATGCCGACATGCAAATACTTATTTCTGCTCTATTTCATCTCGAAACTAATGGTTCTTGTGCTGGGCGTCTATTTAATAATTTTGCATCTACTAAACTTCTTTTACTTATGGGATTACGGGATTAATTCTAGTTGCGGATCTCCAAGGATCATTTTGAGCAATTCTTTTGATGGGTCTGTTGGTTTTTACTGGCGTTTTCTTTGGCCTTCCTGATTTTGGCCACTTCTCGAAGCGCTCCCTTTTATTATACTATCAAATTGTTTTACATAAACTGTCTTGAAATATTTTTTATCGAAACTTCCACAGGCTACTGTAATACTTTTTATAAAACGTCTGGATCCCTCATGCGTCGGTTTTTGTAGAGTCGAACTAGCTAACGTTTCGTCAATCATCCTGTTGGCTTCTTCAGCGCTTGTCTGAAACTGACTCGCATTTTACTCTGTACCTGATTTTTATTGTTTTAGGGGGCGGAGCTAAATGCCAAACACAATCACTAAACCGGACATAAAATTTTATTCGATGAAACTAAAATTTTTGCATGTAATCAATTCTTCTACCTACGAAAAATCTGAGAGTCTATAGAAACTAACAATCTTAACCGCGCCTCAGGTCTTTACTTGTCACCAATATAGGATTCAGTCATTCGAGACAGTGTTTATGCCCTTCATTTAGCTGCGCCCCCATCAAACGATGTAAAAGCAGGTACAGAATAAAATGCGAGTCAGTTTCAGACAAGCGCTGAAGAAGCCAACAGGATGATTGGCGAAACTTTAGCTAGTTCGACTCAACAAAAACCGATGCAGAAGGAATCCAGAAGTTTTTTAAAAAGTGTCTTGAAATAAGCTTGTTTGTGCTGCAAGTCTTTTGAAATTGTAATAAATAGATAAATAAACCTCCCACAATTACTTTGGCCTTTACTTTCGCTAAAGCCCTTCTTCTGAACAAATTATTTTTTCTACTCCCTCCTGTAAAATACTTAATTACACCCCCATCTAGTTTGGCGCAAACGTCACTTAACCACATCAGTTTCGATTCCCACGGATCCCACTCACTTCGGACATTTCCGGGATTTTACCGCACGGGTTTGGGAGCAATCGGACGTTTTCGGAGGTTTGACCGCACGGTTTGAAATTTGACGTTGTGTTTTTCGAAAATTTACCCAAAAACTAACGGTCGTAGAAAAAGTATAGTATGCAAAACGTTCGGTAAACTTTTTAAATCCACTCGTTTATTAAACACTCGCTCCCCTCTACTTTTAACCCATTACTATTGAGCATTTAAAACTAAAAGTCAGGATATTCCTATGCAAAATCAAAATACTAATTTTTTCAAGCGTTCCTTTTAAATGAAAAATGTGGGCTAACATTGAGTTTTTGACAATTAATAACATAAAGAAAATACCTCTAAATCTTTCAATTCAATTGGGTCCCACTGTTGCAAATATTTTTTTCCTCTGTCCTATCGACGGAGAAGAAAATATTTGAGGGTTCAAACCGTTGATGCTGAATTCACTTTTATGAACGTGTAAGAATTTAAGCCAACTGCAACATTTCAAATTTAAAACGTAGAGCGCTTTCTCATTGCGCATTATTATTATCCTTTATCATATTCCAACTTGATAATCAATGTCTCCTTTTTTTTTCAGAGGAGCAGCCCGCCGCAATGCAGCACGCAAATAGTTCCAGAAGCGATCCTTCTCCGTTCTTGGTAAACTGTAGTCTCCTATTAGTGATAATAATGCAGCGTCTGCTCCAGACGAAAACGTGATGTAAATAGAAATTAACTATGTATACATATTGGAAAGAAAATCGAACTTCTATTTTGTGATATTCCTTATCTCCTTAAATTCGCTACGGACGGGTAAATTGAAAATTCCATTCCAAGAGTTGTGGTTTCATGGTAACGTTGAAGTTTTTTAAAGTAATTTATCAGCGTACGTATTTAAAGAGAATTGATAGTTCTGTGGCATATTATTCGATGTTTTGATTCAATTGGCCTTTATGTATGTCTGGTGATTATATATAGGCAGTCCTACGACCCTACTACGGGTTATTAACACAATTGGGAGAAATTCAATATTTTTTAAGTAATAAAACAGGCAAATGGGAGCAAGGCGACACTTCATGTGACGAACGTTCTGCAGATGTTTTACTTCGTTTTACGAGGTGGTCAAAGTCGGAGCGTCATCTATCTGCGCGGTTTAGAGTAAATATTGCTGACATAGAATAGAGCTTTTATTGAATAAAACAATGCCGCGTGCTATCTTGTATCGAAGACATAGGAACAATTTATTTACTTTGTCTAACATTTCCTTACTAACCAAATTTTTCTTTCCATAATGTCAATATTATTAATAATAAATAGATATTGTAGAATGCAATTTTCAATAACTTTAAAAAGCTAATCCAACTCATAAAAAATCACCCAAAAATAAAAAGAGAAATGACATAAATAATATGTAATTTTTTATTTAGAAATATTTTCATTTTCTATCATTTGCCATAGAATTATTACAATTAGCAAACTTTACAGTATGTATTTGCACTCCAGCTCCACTAAAAATATTCTATAAGAAAATTTCGATAACGATGCCTGGTAGTTCAGTTTTCAACTTTATTCTTAACTTGATGTCTAATGTTTCGATATTCGATATATTAGGGTTTGAACACTTTGCAAACTTTTTTAATCACATATTTTCACGTCGCATATTGAATTATAGGTATGGGTCACCAATCCAAAAGCCCTTTTCCAGTTCTCACATCTGCAAAAACAATTCATTTTATCAGTTTTGTCGATAACGATGATACGAGTCAAATGACGTTCACTGACAGGGTATATTGAAAGATAAAATAGTTTTTTTTCTAAATAATAAGAAAAATGAAAATAATTAATATGGCGCCAAAGGTAACGCCACTCAGTATAGCATTATCGTTTGGTGGTGGCAGTCATGTGACTTAACCTTCTTTTGCAGAAATATAGTTTATTGACAGTTACATTATTGTTTTTTTTAACTTATGCCCATAATATAACATAATTTCAATCTAAAACTCAGGATTTGTTACGCAAGATGGAATTTTCAAATTTCCCCATGGGTAAACGTCAATAAATCTCTTTCATATCATACGTAATATCAACACTGTAAATTTGTACATATCATATCAATCGTAAAAGCTAAATTATGTTAAATATGATTATACTGTACTATAAATCTTCTAAATATGCCAAAAAAAAATCAAGTAATTGTGTAAGGATTGTAATTTATTTTTATGGAATACATTAGTGGGAATCCTACATGTCGAGTTTCCATTACCCTTTCCTTGGACGAGTTGCCACTATATAGTTATTAAATAATATAGTGGGAGCAAGGACGGCAAAAATTGACGTAACAATTGATCCGGCTCTTGCGGCAATTTTATTTTTCTACTTTACTGCAAAATACCTATTATATTAGTGTTGTTTTAAATACATGTACCCAAAAACTAACGGTCGTAGAAAAAGTATAATATGCAACACGTTCGGTAAACTTTTTAAGTCACTCGTTTATTAAACACTCGCTCCGCTGCGCTCCGCTCGTATCAAATAAACTCGTGAGTCAAATGTCGTTTCTCGCACTTATTGCATAATATATTATTGGATATTCAATTTTTAAGGAAGGATGTTCTTAAAATATTCCAATATCGCGTTGTACAATACCTAATTATACGCCTTGAATTTTGACGTTTGTCAATTCTGAATGTCATGTCAGTGAATCGATTCGTGTTGTTTGCCATAAATCTCAAAACTTACGGTGGTAGAAAAAGTATAGTATGCAACGCAACACGTTTGGTAAACTCGTTTATTAAACACTCGCTCCGCTCGTTCCAAATAAACTAGCGGCTAAAATACCGTTTACCGCACTTGTGCCATTTTATTTCTTCAGATCGGATGCTTTTGGAGATATTACCGCACGCTTGAGTTTTGACGTTTGTCAATTCAGAGAATCGACATGACATAGTTAATGGTCGCATTTGTTTGAAGGTATGTCTTATTCAGTGTAGTGTAGTACCAGCAATTAGTAGAAATGGACGTTATGGACATTTTAATTCAAAACGAAATGACGGAGGATAATTTGGTCAAATGGCTTTGGAACTAGCAGAACCAATGCGAATATTTGAGGATAATGAAGGTGATAGGTGTCCAATACCAAAAAATCAGAAGTATTACGAAGACATATAAGGAGTTATGAAGGGAACTTATTCTTAAAATCTTTTCCAGGCTTACATTTGTAAACTTATTAAAAGAGATCTATTTTAGAATTTACCACATCTAGCACGTTGCGGAGCAGCGAGACATTTGATATGTTTAGAAGAGGTGCTAAAAGAGAAGCGACCACGTCTGGAAGTTGATATTCCAGATGAGGGTGGAAATGAGGAGGAACCAAATAGCAAATATGCTTTTATAACAAATAAAAATATGTTTTTGAATGATTGATCTTTTTTTTGTAACTCACATAATAAGTGCAAAATTTTATTTCTTTTCTTCTGGAGTTTCTTACTTCTTTCAATGGCGTTTCTTAAGAGGTTAATTTCTTGAATTCGAGCTTCCTCGATATTTATCGGCCTTCTTCGTAAATAAAACATTCCAAGCTTTGATGCCCTAGTCTTGGAACTTCTAAAATGAAAACATGTTATAAGCCTTTAATTTTTTTTAATTATAGCAATATTTTTTTTTTTTAAATTAACCTACTGGGGAATACAGGTGTTGTTCTGATTGGAGTGCTTTCCATCTGCGAAGTCACTGGGATAGCAGGTGGGTCTTTCTTATTTTCGGCAAGGGGCTTTTTTCCTTATAACAGGAACTGCTGTCGAGGTTATCAGGTTAGGGAGGATAACTGTTTTGTCCTCCCTATGTATTTCATCAACCGAGTGATAATATTCCTAGTAAATTCTACCCCTTCTAGTTTTTCCAATAATGTATTTGATGCCTGCGTAGGTTTTTTCAGGTTTCTGAATTACCTATCCAATATTTCTTTCATCTAGTGAAAATACATTCTGCAAATAACTTCACATTGCATAATAAATAACAACTAAAAGTTCACATGACAATTGTTTCGACATAACCGTGTCTTTATCAAATGTAATATTTACAAACTACCTATTTCATGTGAGTGTAATTTGCGTTTAAAAAAGATTACCGTTTGTTTAAAAAAGACATACCTTGATACGACCTTCGAAAACTCGAGGAGTTTTCGTTAAAACTTCCAGTTGGGACCCTGATTTTTTTTGTTAATTTTGTAAATACTAATAATAATATAAACAATAATAAATAAAATATATTTATTGTGCTGGGATTTCGTACTCACCATCACTGTCCAATACACCCTAACCAAATTTCTCTGTCAAGACCAAATTATGCCAATACCGATCGCTTCGCTACCGCTACCGAGCAGAAAATAAACAAGCGAATAAAAATGGCGTCCACCCCACAACATGTTGGATTTGTAACGCATGTGCCAGCGGACGTTTCCGCAACGGCTTTGTAATTTCAAATGTCCAACACGCTCCCAATCGTAATCGCTACCGCTAGGTATAGGGAGGGCTTTGCTACGTCCGTTGAATGCGACCAATGCAATGCAAAAATGTACACAAAAACTACCGATCATAGAAAAAGTATAGTATGCCTAATATGTTTTGCAAAAATGTACACAAAAACTACCGATCATAGAAAAAGTATAGTATGCCTAATATACTATTTCGTAGAGAAGAGGAGAGTAGGAATGACCTCTCTCGCCTGCCCCTTAATTTCATGCACTAATCTGCACTTTTCTTTGTAAGCAGCGACCTTCACACAATTAATTCCTTCCTCCTCTGTAAATTCAACGCGATATGGGTATATTTTAAGAAAATCCTTCCTTAAAAATGGAAGATCCAAAATAGTTTATTATGCAACAAATGAGGTAAACGTCAATCGACCCACGAGCGCAGCGCAGCGGAGCGAGTGTTTAATAAACGAGTGACTTAAAAAGTTTACCGGACGTGTTGCATACTATACTTTTTCTACAACACGAATACATTCACTGGTATGACCGTCAGAATTGGCGAATGTCAAAATTCAAACCGTGCGGTAGAATCTCCGAAAACTTCCGATTGCTCCCAAATCCGTGCGGCAAAATCTCGGAAATGTCCGAAGTGACTCGGGAAACGAAACTGGCGTGGTAAAGTGACGCTTTCCGCACGCTAGATCGGTGTCTAATTAGGTATTTTACAGACGGGATTAGAAAATAGGTATATTATGCAACAAGTGCGGTAAACGGCATTTGACTCACGAGTTTATTTGACACGAGCGGAGCGTAGCTGAGCGAGTTTTTAATAAACGAGTGAGTTAAAAAGTTTACCGAACGTGTTGCATACTATACTTTTTCTACGAACGTTAGTTTTTGGGTCAATTTTCCCAAAACAACCCGAATACATTTACTGACGTGACCATCAGAATTGACAAACGTCAAAATTCAAAGCGTGGGAAATATCTCCGAAAAAATCCGATTGCTCCCAAATCCTTGCGGTAAAATCCCGGAAATGTCCGAAGTGTCTCGTATTACCACTAACGTGGTAAAGTGACGCTTCCCGCATGCTAGATCGATGGGTAATTAGGTATTTTACAGACGGGAGTAGAAAAATATTTTTTTATAGTGGCTTTATATACTATTAGTAATATTGCTAGTTATATTTTATATTGCAGAATTTCTTTGATATTAAAAACAAACTCCAACTCTATAATGTGTGCAAGTGGGGTTAATATGAAGTTTCACTATGGCGCGAGTTTGTTCTTTATATATTTAGCGAGCAACTTTTAACATTTGTTGAAGGGATAAGAAAATTGCTCATCAGTTTAACGGGACGCTGTAAGACTTTAAAACTTGCAAATGTAGCTAAATGCTTTTAAAATGTCGCCAGGATAAAATTTTTAAGCGTCGCCTTTCCTAAGACTTTCACGAAGATTAAGCTTTCTAATTCGGCAATTATAATACCCTTACTCTGCCTCCAATATCGTAAAAGGATTTCCACGTTTATTGCGATTTGGAGAAAAAGAATTAAGAATTAATGACCGTTGTGTCGCTCCCCATGTTCGTAACTAATTATATTTTTAAATAGTAAGGCACTGGTAGGTCAACTACCTGGCCGTCTACCTGACACTCTCGTACCTACTGACAATCATATTACAGTCCTATAATAATTTGTAACTCTTGGACATTAATAAATAGTGAAAAGCGATTTAGTCCGAAAATGAAATTCGAAAAACATAGAAAGACTTTCTAAATCAAATTATATTTTATTACATGTCATCAAATTATATTGAAAAAATATGTAAAATAGATTTAACTTTATTTTACCCGATTTTGATGAAACTTGTTATTATTGAAGGGCCATAATCGATAATCGAAAAGATGTTATTTCAAGAAATATTCAAATGACAGATCCCATTTGGCAGATTGTCCAGGTCCAAGTTCTGTTTTGGTTTATTTCTGGAAGGTAATATATTAATGTGATTTTTTTAATATTCAAAGTTAGAATGAAAAGGACTTAGCAATTTTGGTGTAAGTTAGGCAATTATTCAAAAAATTAATGGATCTGTAATGGATTAATCTGTTGTTTTCCCTGCTTACTTTATGGTGGCGATAAAGCTTGGACTGAAATAGGGCTCACTGATCTAGAGCATTTAAAAAATAAGAAGACAGGAAAATTCTAAAAGCCACCTTCATAATTGTACGGAATTTGCCTCAACTAATGTTAGGGCCCAATTAGATTCTGCTTGTTTCTCTAAAGGTAGACAAGGATTGATTCTGGTCAATACTGCCGTTTCGAATTACAACCATTTTTAACAAAATGTATCAGCTAAAGAGTATCGCTAGCCGTTATCAAGTGAAAACTGGGCGCTATGATCGAGGCTTTATACTCTGTCAGGTTCCTGATGCGTGACAGTAGAGGTTGCGACAGCGCTGGTATTTCTACGCTTGGATGCGTTGGTTGAAGGCAGCTTCTATGAACTTTTTGTTCTTTCAGTGATGTCCATGTGACTCTGTGATGTTCTGTACAAGTTTGCTCAGCGAGACCAGATATATTTGTTTCTCCACGTTGGGTATTTTCTTGTGTTCTGCTATTCTTACATCCAGTGGTTACTTCGTTTCGTCTACCTAAGATTTTCCACGTTTACAGACGGTTGTATTTTGTTGCATTTCTTCTGATCTTTTCGGAAACTCTTTAAACGTAAGGAATGGCCATTAGTATGTTTTGGCTGTACT